AAATCTAATAATGAAGGGAAGGAAGGGATTGTCCAAAATTACTACATTTCAAGTGGTTTGTAGTATATTGGATAACACCACTGCTGTTAATGCAGGTTTGACTTCCAGGCAAGCGCAAGCGTGCCATGCTACACCAGAGTCCTTCAGTAAGGCTCATGACACACATAACACACATTTACCTAATTCTGTAGCATGATTAAGTTTTAAGTTGTTTTTTAAACATATAAATGCACTTAGAATAAAATCTCCTTATTATATTAACTTGAATAAATGGCCATAACTAAAAGGGGTAAGATCATTGATATCTCAAAACAATAGCTAACAGCTTTTCTCTTTTTTCAGAATGAGCTTGTCAGCTTGTCATCTTTTGTACAGGATTAGGTACAACATATATTCAGTGAGGTAAAGTACATGCCAGTGGTTCTTTGTGCAGTTTGCCAGGTCCCCTCCTCCCTCAGTTAGGGATGTGCATTCTGACTAATATTGATATTTAAGTAACCTTAAGGGTTAAAGAATGGATCACTGGTTAACCACAAGAAGGAAAAAACAGCGCAGTAGAAAAAAATGGACATTGGCTGAAATTAATGTAGGGCAGTAGGTTTGCCTTTTTAGGGGACAGCACTCGTTTTGCACAAACAATTAGCCTCATGCAGAGGAATACATTTGAGAACATGTTTTATTATTCAATTAAGGGATACCAAGAGTAGGTTTTCATATCTGATGACTAACGGATGCTGCCTCGGAAGAGCTAATAAGCAGCTAACCAATACAGCATTGGATGCTTGAACTCGTTTAACCACACACAATGTGTGGCTTCTTACAGATGGTCTTTTCTCCACAGTGGACGATGTGCTAACATATCAGTTTGTCAGAGAAATATATTTTCACTGTTTCTGTGTCACGTATCCACCGAGCTCTAAGGTGGATTCGGACTCAATCTCCCAGAATCCTCTGGGAGATCAGATGACTTCTGAGCTTCCCGTAAGTGACAACACCGAGACGAACTCAATCTCCCAAGAATCTCTGGGAGATTACCTGACGCCTCACGTGACTCTGCGCTCCTATCAGCGCTCTAGATCTCCAGAATACTGATGTGAAGCACCTGTGTTATTGGTCTTTAGTTTAGTATTTAAGCCCGGGCTTTAGCTCAGAATAGTTGCGAGGTATTGTATCCACTTTTGCGATCTACTGAGCGTTCTTTTCTTGGAGTATATTTTGTGTATGATCTTTGCCTTTCTTTTTCTCGACTTTGCCTTTTTGCTCTGCCCTTCGGATTTGTTTGCCTTATTTCGGATTACTGTTTTTGACCCATTGCCTGTCTCTTCCACCACGCTGTTGCCTATCCCCTTTTTGGACTGGATGCATTGTCAGATGTATGTTTGTTTGTACTTCCTATGCCTTTTGGATTCGAACCCTGCCTGTTTTGTGACGACGACTTTGAACTGTGATTCTCTCAGTAAAGCCCCTTCTGTATTTTACATCTGCGAGCGTCTGAATCTGCTTGGCACGTTACATTCTGAATCTAATTGTATGTGTGTGTGTGTGTGTGTGTGTCTGCCCTGTGATGGACTGGCGACCTGTCCAGCTTGTTTCCTGCCTTCCACCTAATGACCATTGGGATAGGCTCCAGCACCCCCCACAGCCCAGGAGTATAAGCAGCTTAGATAGTGAGTGTGTGTGTGTGTGTGTGTGTGTGTGTGTGTGTGTGTGTGTGTGTGTGTGTGTGTGTTTCTGAATCTAGCTAACATCAGCTAGAGCAGGCATGTCAAACTGCGTCCAAAGTGCTGCAGAGATTAGTGTTCATCCATATCTAACACTCTTCAGTTCATGAAGGCCTTGCTAATTAGCGGATGAGCTGAATCAGGTGTGTTTAATGAGGCAGTGTGCTGAAGTCTGCAGTGGTTTGGCCTGCGAGGACTGGATCCTGACACAGGCGAGCTAGAGTAACTTATTTACACATGTTAGTAAAGCCATGCTATCTCTGCCTTCTTTGTCACATCCTTAACAGCATGCCCTTGATAATGTGCTCATGCTGAAGTGCTCATGTTTTGGAGTAGCAAAGTATAGTACAATATAGATACTACAAATACAATCAAAATCAAACAATTTACTGTCTTGTTAGAATTTATTATGTTTCATTTATGAAACATAGCAAATAGCTAAATAGTGTTTTTAGTATTTGAATACTGGCACCTTGAATAGTTAAGTACTCAAGTGTCTGTGCACATCTCTACCCTGACTTATCAGCCAGTAGTGTGTCTGCAAAGTCAGGCATTTATATCTAGCTTACTAGATATATCTAGAATTCTCCACCATTACATTATTATCACCATTTGAAAGCACCAGCTGCTCCTTACATTGTGTGAAAATGTAATGATGAATGGACCAAGAGAAATGGTCCAAAATTACTTGGAATAAAATCTTTTTACATTAACTTCCAGTTCCTGTTGCTGAAAAATTACTAATTTTCAGGGTTGGAATGTTTGTTCTGACAGCGGCGATATGTTTTTGGTGCTCTTTGGTAATTTATTAGCCCAGTGATTTTTGGGCTATGATTTTTTGTCACGTTTTTAATATTGATGTCAGTCATTGTAGTTGAGACCAGTGGATTTCATTAAAATTGCTTCACTGACGTTTTGAGTGACACCCAGCCTAAGAGGGATTTGATGCGATGATTCGCAAGAGCAAAAACGTTCCGTCACAGATGCTAATTCTCTTCACTCTGGAAGAAGCTGGCACACAGAGAATTACAATAGATTTCTTTTTCTATTTTAAGCAAAGCAGACAGAGTTATGCTTCATCTCACTGATGGACAATTTATATGGTAGCCTTGAAAGGCAGATAGAAATATTCAAAACCTTCCATGAGGCTCCTAGACTCTTAAATATTGATTCATTTGTCAAAGTGCTGCTTAAGTTTCTTTTGAGCAACTGAACCATGTTCACACAAAAACCAGGCTTTGTTTTGTAATCTGGCTGGGGGACAAGTGGATTTCCTGAGTTAAATAATATCTTAGGAGCCAAACAAAGGAATGTTCAAAGGTGCATTGAAAACACTTGGAACTTGTTGGCTGTTTTTAGTCTCTAGGATAAATGGAGCTTTTTAAATACACACATCTCACTGTTATCTATCATATCTGTGTAGTTCAGAGTTGAAGCATTTGAGTGCACCCACATTCATTTATTTACTCTGCGACAGCGAATTTGTCATGCGTGGTCATGTTTATATTAACTGTGGAATTATCGCTGCATCCGCCAAGATTGGTGACATTTGTTAGCCCCTTTTCTTTTTCTTAGTGCACTTCTCCTTAGAGACAGCTTTAGAGGCAAAACAAAAAGTTTTTTGGAGTTTGTACCATCTGCATGTTTTCCACTCTGCTTAGTATAACATTGCATACTAAATAATTCAAGGTAAACCGGATCATACATGATTTAAACGGATGGGTGGTCTCTGTGGTCTCCAGAGTTAAGAGGTTTGCTCTTTCCTTTGATTTGGCTTAAAAAAGACTTCAGCTAAGTTGATTTTGGAAGGGAGATAAAATGGCTTTCCTCGTCCCATTGAACTCTGACATTGATTTGGCACTGGTGTCTTGACTTATCAACAGTGGGTGGCTGTGAAGGGAGGCTCAGTTTAGCAGCTACTGCTAAACTTTTTTTTTTTTGATCCTGCATTTGTCTCAGGTCTCTTGTGGATTGTTTTACTTTCGCTAGGTAAGGCCTCCATTTAATATCCCTAAAGAAGACAATGCATTTCTTAAATTTAGATGGTACACTCTTAAAAAAGATGGTTCTTCAAGGGTTCTTTAGTAAAGGAAATGGTTCTGTTTAGAAATGGTTCTATATAGAAGCATTTCATGAACTATTTTTAAATGATTTTTTGCATGGTGAAATGGTTCTTCAGACTGATGGAGAATGTGTTGTATATGGTTTCATATAGAACAAGCTGGACATTGTTACAATAGAAGAACCCATTTTGGTGCTATATAGAACCATTTCCAAAAAAGTTCAATTAGGAACCATATACAACACATTCTTCGTAAGTCTGAAGAACGAAATCACAATGCAGTGAACCGTTTAAGTACTTTATAGAACTCTAAATTCCCTACTATAGGACCCTTGAAGGACCATCTTTTTTAAGAGTATAGACTTCAATCATAGTAGATATTTTTCAAAGATATTCTGTCACCCTTCTCTGATATCCAGGTATCAGTATTACCCTCTGGCCATTCCACTGGCAGAATGAAAATTGACCCTGGATATTTTTATAATATGCTTTTTTCATTGATCCTAGTTTTCTTCCTCAATTTAGCCATGTTTAACTCCACCCGCTAATTTGGACTCCCACAATCACACAATACTACTAGCTCTAGGAAGGTGAAGGCTAGCACATGTTTCCTCCAAGTCACATGAAGCCAGCCACCGCATCTTTTTCAACTGCCACGAACACACTGAACAGCTGAATGTGCTTAGAAAAGAACACTAATTGAAAATTCTGTTATGTCAGCTAACAGGCTGGCATTGTGCTGAGTGATAGGGGGAGATGGAGGAACACCCTACCCACCCAAACAAAGCGAGGCCAATTGTGCTCTCTTGGACTCCTGGCTACGGAAGGCTGTTACTTCACTGGGGATTGAATTTGCGCTCTCCCGCTGAAAGGGTCTGCACTTTGACAGTTGTACAACTGGTTGCTGTTGTGACTTTATGTTGAGCTGCTAGCGAGCAACAATGGCTGAGAGTTGAGGGCTGAAAACCCACTCAAAAATAAGTTATTCATTTGACCTGACTCTACTGCTCAAAACTGTATTCTCTAACCCTTTAAAATCCCAGGCTTATGACATACTAAGGCTTATTATTCAGTAACTACACTGTCTACAATGCAAACTAGCTAACAGGTTATTCTTAGGTTGTAGAAGCGTGTAGTAAAACTTTGGGCCCGCTGGCGTATGTGTATGTGTCAGGCTTGCTGTTTATCATGCTGTGCTTTGAATTTTGCTGTTGTAGGTGCTATCTGATAGCCTGCAGCTGTGAGAAGATGGGCGGCTGTGAGTGTGGCTGGGTCATAGCCCAGTCCTGAGATGTTTGGCCCTCCATCCTGGTGCCTGTCTCAGTGATGACGAGCACCCTTGCTGTCTTCCTCCTCACTCTATCTGTCCTGTACAGAGCTGAGGTATGTGACTCCCATCTAACTTACATGTTTAAGCAAATCTGGCAAGGGCATGCTTAAATCTATAAGTCTCCAGTTGTTGTTTAAAAGGCCCAAGGATTAGCATTAAGTAAGCTGCAAAAATAGCCATAATTTGTGTTGAATTCATCAACATATATGGGTACATGTGGCTTGCCATTCAGCCTACATCAGTTTAGCCCATCCATTCACACTGAAGTCATAAGGAGTGCTGTTACTGCAGCCAGTCTGTACCACAGTTATTGGCCCTTTAATTATATTATATTATATTATATTATATTATATTACATTATATTATATTATATTATTATATAATTATATGCATTATGCTTATGCAGTTAGGCCAGATCTGTAGTGTTCTCTATTAGTCATTGTCCATTCATTCACGTGTGACATCATATGATTTGTGTCTTTCAGTGTGTGTGTGGGAAGACAGTGAAGGATACGGTGCAAGAATGGAACAGGTATCGGAACGAGTGCCTTCTGAAGATCAGCTCAGAGCCCACCCCCTCAGGTACCCCCAAAACTCCATCATACTTATATCTACAGCAAATGTACTGTGAAGCAAATAGACATTTCCCACTGTTCTCCTTAAATACTTTGCCAAAACCAAATGACGACTCACAAATGTGTCTCACACATTCCCATAAGGATATTATATAAGCATGTTTACTGCAGTATTCATCCTTTATTTCTTCTCCAGGTCTGTTCTGCAGACGCATGTTTGATATGTATGCTTGCTGGACAGATGGTGTGCCCAACACCACAGTCAAAGTGCCCTGTCCCTGGTATTTGCCTTGGTATGATCAAGGTACTGGCTACCTTTCATTATTGCTCTATGTTTTAATTAGGGCTGTCATGATTACTCCATTAAAACTGATTAATCGATTATAAAAATGATTTGATTAAAACATACATTCTTTATGAATCAGCTTAGTAGACAGCAATGTGACTGATAAATAAGGTATCCACTAGTCATATAAAAACATGTTTAGTTGTTAGATGTTCAGTTTAGATGTTTATGTAAAACTGGCATAAGTTATACCAAACACTGTGTGGGCACTGGACACCACCGCTAGCTTAGTGCTAACAAAACATTGAAATTTCCTTAGATGCAAACATTAGCACTACCATAGTGGTGGTACTCTGGATACTTTTAAAGTGAAAATTTCTGTAGTAAACACTGATGTATAATAATGTACACAGCAATAAGTTCATGAAGTGAAAGACTCAAAGCAGCATTTAACATTTTCATGATTAAGATGACTTAAAATGCATTAAACTTAATTTTCTGATACTTGCATACCTGATAATGCATATTTAAAATTCTTGTACTCTCGCAGAAGCTGATAGACACACATTTTTATGTATTTTGACATATTTTTATATATTTTTGTTTATGTGTTAAGCAGTAATATCTTTTTAATGGTAGATTTTTTTAGTATCTTTTTCAGTAAAATTTATAGAATCTTTGAAAGGCTGTGCACAAATGAAGCAACCAGATCACTCATTTATTGAAATAATCACTAGACTACTCAAATACTAATCTAATCAATTGTGACAGGTGTAGTGTAAATCTCTCAGTGGAATTTATCTATTCCTGCACAGTAGTATAAATTAGGGCTGGGTGATGTATTAAATATTCATCATAAGTAAATGTTATTTATATGATTGTATACCATTGTTGCCTGTATTTCATTGTTAATTCAGTGGAAAACAGACTGTGATGGTTTCTAAATTTTATTATTGAATTATAATTTCTTTTAGTTCCTTTTGTAGTAAATATTTTTATCTTTTTAGGCAATGATTTGCTTACATTGAAGGTTGCATGCACACTTGCAAAAAAAGTTTGAACATTCCTGCTCAAATAATGTGTTTTGTTGTTTTTGTAAGTGAAAATATGTTAACATCCTTTACAACAAATAAATAAATAAATTGAATATGTAATTTTTATGCACATTTTCTATTTATTTGCTGAGTTTAACATATTGGGAAAAATGGAAGATAGAAAATGTGCCATAACAAATGTGCCACATTTTCTGTTTAATTTTTTTCCAATACGTTAAATTCAGCAAATAAACAGTGATTATGCAGCAGAAGTGTGTTCTCTGTAGAGGATGTGCTATTTTCACTTAGAAAATCAACAAAATATGCAATTTAACCAAATCAAAAAACTTTTGCACATGAGTGTATGAGTGCATTTAATAAGGACTGTTTAGTTTAAATTATGATTCTTCTGACTGGAAATAGTCATTCTTCTGAGCCATTTCAGAGAAAATGCATGAATTTGAAAGTAATGTTGTTACCAAAAAAGTAGATACAGACTACAGATAGAGAGAGTTATTATATTACTCCCACACTCTGCAGTGCGCACTGGGTTTGTACTGCGGGAATGTGGTCCAGATGGCCAGTGGCAGACCAACAACACCAGCCGCACCTGGAGAGACCACTCGCAGTGCAACGCTGATGGCAGCAAACAAAGAGAACAGGTATAACTTTATCTTCGCAGTCACAGTGCAGTCTAACAGGGAGGGCATTTTAAAAGACTATACTATCAAATTTCCCAATATTTTCATATTAGGATTTTTCCACAAACACGCTAACATATATCGAATCTGAAGAATGACATTTCACTACTGTGATGAAGACTTATTGGCTTATTGGCTTACTGGTTTGTTTGGCATTTTAGGCTCTACAAGCTCTTATTACACTGGCTTTATGCAAATCAAACCACAGCTCCAATGACTGTGTACTCACTCACATAGTTTAGACACCTTTTATGAGGTGTAGGACAAAAGCTTTGAATAGATGTTGTGAAACAACATAAAACTCATACTTAATCTCTGCTGGTAAGCAATGAATTAAATTCAGTACTTTTATAAGAGACAGAAATGCAATATATTGGTTATATAATTTTCATGCATGACTTCATACGGATTCTTTGAACCAAAACCAGATGCAGCAAGCCATAAAATAAGATGCTTCATATATTTGTCAGTGCCACTGAACTAATGGAAAAAGTTTAATATCAGCATATCAGCATTTCTCTCTTGGTGGTTTGCTTCTTGCACCTCACTTAGATCATACAGACATAAAAATAGTTTTAAAAAGTTAGTGCTCTGACCAAACTGAGTGCAAATACCATTTTACTATTTCATAGTCTCAGACATCATTCATATTTGTTGTATGAAGAGATTAGTGACTCAAATCCCAAAGAAACAGGACAATGTTCTATGCTGTAAAGTCTTACTCATCAAGTTATTGTTATTTGACTTCTGGCTATAGCCAATTGCTTGGGAAGTATCCCACAAATTTAAAAGCATCATTACCAAGCCATGCTCATGGCCCAAGATGTACGTAGCAGTAGACATGCAGGGCAGGGAGACTGTGCCAGTGAAATGAGTTGTGACCACAGAGAAATGAAGCTGTGACATTATGGACACAGAGCAAGTTCATTATCTCCAATCCCTGGTTCCTCTCTCAGAGTTCATCTCAGTAGGCTAGCCGAGAACAGTTGTCGCAGTGTTGTCCAAGGTCTTCAGTATCTATCACAGGCAATCTTGTGCAAAGGAGATGTATGGGGTGTTGCTGTTTTCTTCATCTGTAAAAGAACAAAACAGATTTTTATATTCGCAGACTACATTGTGTTGGAGATATAAAGAGTAATTTGCCAAATGGATGAACTCGGTAATGCAGATATAATGACTGCAGAATCCATTTCTGTCAGGAAAAAGATGAACCTCGAGTTCTGTAAGAATTGAAAAGAAGCTTAGTCACTGTAATGCAGACTGAAACTGATTATTTTTGCTGATTTTCCTCAGGAATATCAGATGCTGATTCTAGCCTACTTTAGGGTGATGTACACAGTGGGCTACTCTTTATCCCTGGCTAGCCTGTCTCTGGCCCTCATCATACTACTTCTTTTTAGGTGAGTCTGAATGGTGTCAATCTTGTCTAGTCTAGTGCACTGTTCTGAATCTTCATTTTCTGAATGGGTCATCTTCTACAACCCCTTTTCTAAAAAGAAGTTGAGATGCTGTGCAAATCATTTAAACCCCATATTTAATTGAAAATAGTGTAACAACATACCAAATGTTGAAATATTGAAAGAATTTTATTGTTTTTGAAAAACATATGCCCAGTTTGAATTTGATGCCAGCGACTTATTTTTAAAAAAAGTTGGGAGAGGGGCAACTAAAGTCTGGTAAAGTTGTGTAATGCTAAAAGAAAACACCTGGTGAATTATTTCACAGCTAATTAGGTTAAATGGCAACAGGTCAGTTGCTGTGTCCACAAATACAGAAGTTAAAACTCCATCATGCAAAGAAAAAAACATTAACAGGGTCCAGAAACGCCGCCACCTTCTCTGGGCATGAGCGCATTTAAGGTGGACTGAGGTGAAGTGAAAAAATGTTCTTTGATTCGACGAATCATACATTGAAGCCGCATTGTCCTGGCTAAAGAGGAGAGGGACCATCCGGCTTGTTATCAGTGCACAATGCAAAGGCACTGTTCATGCTAAACAATGTATACAGGTTTTGGAGTTTCACATTTGACATATTGTCCTTGTACTATTTTTAATTAAATATAGGGTTTAAATGATTTACATGCCATTGCATTCTGTTTTATTTACATTTTGCACAGTATCTTAACTTTTTGGGAAACAGGGTTATAGTAATGATCTTGACCTGACAAGTTTAATTGCCTATGCAGAACACTGGTCCAGCTTGTCATTAGTGACACTGTGGCACTGTTGACAGTGAATAATGTGACAGTGAACATACTGTAAATACAACTGTAAATACATAGTAATGCTTAATGATGTCAGAGTCATATTGGAATGCAATGCTGTACATTTCTAGAACAGAGTTAACAGCTGTTATGTTTTAAGAACTTTCTTATTGTCACACTTCTGCTTCTTTCCACTCACACACACATTTTTATTAGGTTTCTGTTTATTATGCAACACACAGTATGTGGTAGCTACTTAGCACTTCATCCACTGTTACTGATGGTGTTTAAATGTCTTGGGAATGAAGCAGCAGATTACTGATTCTGAAAGAGTGCTTTGAATAGATTTAGAATTAATGTATTAATGCACTGAACAAATGTTAATATTGCATTTGCTAATAAAGCTCTGTCACGGTGCTTTAGTAAGTTAAGTACTGCTTAATAATTTGACAATATATTATTCCAACCTGTTATTTTGGGTAACACTTATATGTGGCTTACACAGTATAGAATCATATGTAATAGGTTAATAGGTTAATAAAACATTGTGTGAATGTTGAAGGGGCCATTTCATGGTAAAATTAATGTCACTTTTTTCAAATAAAAGAGTTTGATGAAGTATGTAAACATTGCTAAAGTTTCAAAACGTACCATTCACTAGACAGCCCATACAGTTCGTATGAACAGTTGCAAAAATGATCTGTTTTGAATTCATTGTTTTTGTGACGTCATGAAAACCAACACATTTACATATGTCCAGCTATTCAACCTGCAGCTATTTAGTCCATTCACACTGAAGTTATAAGGGGTGTTTCAGCCTTGACTACTTTTTAAATGAGACACAAAACAGAGCAGTATATATTCGTACGTCAGTCTTAAAGGCACTGTAACAAAACCAGCTTGTTTAAAAGTTTAAAAGATAAAAAGAGGTTGGAAATAATCCATGCAAAAATCAATTAGACTGTTTGTGTAAAAAACACATAAAGCATCATAGATGAACCTCAGAGAAAAAAATAAAATAGACTGGGGTTCAGTCCCCCTCCTGGAGAAGCACTCTACGCTATACCATTAAGAGTGTCTGCCAAATGATGCGGATAAGAAGATATTATGCAGATCAGATAGAGTAAGCATTTACAGTATCTCTGACTCAGACTATTTTTCTTTGCTAGATAATGTAAAATATGGAATATTTTAGTTTCAATTACTTAATTTGTTCCAATACAATAGTGATATATCATGCAGTGTTTTTACACCTGTAGAGCAGTTTGGGTATAAAGTCAACTGTTGTGCTGAGCTGCATGTTTCTGCAGAGGGGGATGTAAAGAGTTTTGAAAAAGTGAACTTTAAAACTGAAAAATGCTTCTTAGCGATGACAACAAACTGTAAGCCATTGTGAACTGGTTACCAATTCCTCAGCTATGTACTTGGATATTGTATTGCTCAGTGGTCACCTTGTCCTGGAGATCTACTTTTCCTGCAGAGTTTTGTTCCATCCTGCATCTGACATGCTGCCCCCTCACCCTTTACCTAAGAGCAACGCTGTGATTCAGCCAGTCAAGGACGTATGTAGAAGTCAACCCCTTAAAATACCAGGCTTTTGTCATACAAAGGCTTATTATTCAGTAACTACAGGGACTTCTGTGCAAACTGGCTGAGCTATTCTTAGGTTATGGAAGTGTGTAATACAACTTTGGGCCCACCAGTGGGTGGTGGCCATTTAAGGGGATTAGTGAGCTGGAACAGGTATGGCAGATTATAGTTGGAAGTAGACTCTGCAGGAAGGTAAATCTCCAGTACCAGCATGACCATTGATTTGATAAAGCATATGACTAAAGTAAGTGACCAATCCTAAAATAAAAGACCTGGCAGGGAAAGGGGGGCATTTCTGGCAAAATTCATGATTACAGACTACAAAATGAGTCATTGAAGCAGAATTGTGATATTATTCTCTTCTGCCGCATCATTATTTTGTGTATTGCTGCATTGTAGGAAACTCCGCTGCACCCGCAACTACATCCACACCAACCTTTTTGCCTCCTTCATCCTTCGTGCTGTGTCCATCCTCACACGTGATGCGCTCCTCACCAGAGAAACTCCTGAGTTTAGGGACAACAGTGACGTGTCCAGTGTCCTGAGTGACCAGGTCTGAGCATTCATACATCCACTGACAGGTCTACAGACATACATGACCACAAAACAATATACACACATAAATCCCTGTAGTGTACAAAGTTCACAGTCCTGCGTGATGAGATGAGACTCCCCAGACCTGAACTCATACATCAGCTCTCATCGTTTGACCAAAACAAGTCAAGCCAAATGGAAGTCCTGCAGACCTCTGACCCTAAAACCTTTTATCTCTATGCTCTGCCTTCAGGCTCTGTCTGGCTGCCGCGTAGCTCAAGTGCTCATGCAGTACTGTGTCGGGGCCAACTACTTCTGGCTGCTAGTGGAGGGCCTGTACCTCCACAACCTTTTGGTGCTCATGGTGTTCTCTGAGAACAGTTACTTCTGTGGTTACCTAGCCATCGGCTGGGGTGGGTACACAGCTTTACATTCTAATCGTCTGTCATTACACTCAAATATTAAATCATATGAACTTAATTTAATTATGTCACATATTTTAATGCAGTCAAATGGAGTGGAGTCAGCATAAATGGACATGCAATTGTAATTAATGCAAACATATTTTCAGTTTGTAAGTCAAACTGTTTTTTTGAGTGTGTCCATCATGTTTTAGTCTTCTACAGAATAAGTGGTGAAATGTACTTTTTCTCATTTGGCACATCAACATAGTGGCCATTACGTACAGACATATTGATCAAAAAGTCAAATTTAGCAATATTTCAAGCTTGTGTTTATGTCCACTTTGTGCAACACTGGAAATGTGTTTATTTTTTGTTAGGGAAATTAATGAGCAGTATCCTGTTGTAAGAGTTGAAGATTTTTACAGAAGATTTGAATCAAGATTTATTTTCAAGCCAAAACTCGTACTACAAAAACCTACACCAATGGAAGAGTAAATGCTAATATCCCTTTTGAATGGCAACAACAATATCCTACGGGGCAGTAATAATTTAAAACACAGAACGAGCCAGACAACATTTAGTCAGACAACATTTCTTCATTTGGTTCAGTTATTTAGTCTTTTTTTACATAGTCAAGGCCTATACGTTCTATTAATATTTGCATCTGCAGAGAATTCTGCCAAGTATTTGAGCCATCTAGAGCCTCGTGATCTGAGGTCCCTGTAAGTAATCAGTAATTCATACCTTTTAACAAATATAAATACTACAGGCATTCCTTTATATGAGTTTGTTTCCAAAATTAAAAGTTATTATTATTATTATTAGTATTATGATAATATATACTATTTTTTTGCAAGCCCACCCAACAAAGTAACTTTCAGCAGCCCACAAGGTTTCAGCATATAGTGTCTTTACTTCTATCCCAAAGTTAGTAAAAATTTTATGAGCAGGTGTCTCTAAACTTATGTCTAGTAGAACATAAGCAATATATTAAAATATTATTAAAAAAAACACCTTCAATTCCAAACTTCCTTTTGTTTACTTTCTGCTCTTTTAACAAACATCTGAAATATTTATTTGCAACTGTCAGTGTTTGTATTCACCCTTGGTTGTACAGTAAGGCCATTCTTTTCCTCAGGTACTCCTGTACTCTTCGTGGTGCCCTGGATAGTAATGCGCTACCTATATGAGAACACAAGGTAAGCCTCATTAGCTGTATTGCAGGAACATTAATCTTTGCTTCCAAATTCAACCAGCCTCACTGCCTGCTTCTCCCTAAAGGTGTTGGGAGATCAATGAAAACATGGCCTATTGGTGGATCATCCGAACTCCAATCCTCCTGGCTATTTTAGTAAGTATTTATTCTTGATGGTCAATGCAATTCTGTATTAACATCCCTATTTTAATAGACTTTCTAACTTGGCTTGAGGAAGTTAGACATAAGAATATTTTTATAGCAGTAGTTTGTCTCATAATGGAGAATTTGTGACATTTTGGCTGTAATGGTAGAAGAAACACTCTACTAAAAGTGTTTTGGCATGTCTAAGTATCGAAGACCTCTCAATATTAAGTACTTAGACGAAGCGACTACAAATGATATCTTAGTATCACCTGCCAACAAAATACATCTAACATCCTCTTCTGTTGATAGCAGGCTAAATGTACTCCTCATGTAAAATGCATGGATGACATTGAAGGACATAGGTTTTTGTGTTCTAATGCATGTGAAACATTGCAGGTAAACTTTTTCATATTCATAAGGATTATCAAGATTCTCATCTCCAAATTAAAAGCACACCAGATGAGATACACAGACTATAAATTCAGGTAAGACTGTATTTCTGTGAATAAGTAAACACAAAAAGAAAATGCATGTTCTTTATTACTAAATTTAGTATATCCTATTGTTCTGAATTAATATTTATATACCCTTTCTATTTTTGACAAAGTGTTTAACATTTTCTCGTTATTAGTGCAATTTGAAATGCTTAACGTCTTTCTAAATAATGCAGAAAGTTACCACAAACAGTCTTTTTTGATGTAAAGTTTAACATGTCAATTTATACTTGCTTTAGTCTGGTTCTATTCATCCTTGGGCAAAATCTTTAATAAGATAAAATGTAAATTCATGATTAGGGCTGTCTATGTAACCTTTTGAAGTTTCCCTGGAATTAAAGGAAACCTCTTATCTTCTGACTTCAAATGATGCCCTTTGCCACAAAGGGATTTTTAGGAAGCAGTTTGCCTCTCAGAGGAGTTTGTATTTTTATCCTAAGTCTTAAATCTAGCTAGAGTTCACTGGGTAAAACAGAGCTGATTAAAATCTGAGATGCATGATTCACATAAAAATATCACAAGGACAGAGAGCTGTTTGAAGCTTGATTCACTTGCGAGCCTCACAGTCATTTTTTGCCTGATGGTATTCTGAAGAGTTGGACCTGGTAACAGCCTTCTGGATATCTCATTTGATCAAGCAACAGTATTTAAACATAATAATAATAATAATAATAATAAATAAAACATTAAAAAAATAATAAAAATATTTGCATAGCACCTTTCATGCATGTAACTAAAAAGTGCTTCACAAAAGTTTAAAAGACAAAAAATACTAATGAAACCACACAAGAACATAAAAGCAGCTAGAATACACTCTTTAAAAATGGTTCTTCAAAGGTTCTTTAGTAAAGGCAATGGTTCTACATAGAACAAACACTCAAAAAATCTTTTGAATGCACAAATTCATTTTTTATTATTATTTAAAAAGTAGTACTAATAGGAAGTAAGTAAAAATAAAGGAATCATAAAAACAAAGTGTAAAAAAAACATATAACTCTTTTTTGGTCAGTTTAAACATACATGGACATTTACGTATGTGTGTAGGTGATATGTTTGTGGCCGCCCTATTATAACTAAAGAAATAAGATCTTATCACTGTTGTCCTTTTAGTAACTCTAAAGGTAAAATATGAAGATGAATCATGCTTGTGTTTTGAACTGGACCGTTCTTTAAATGCGGCTCTTTAGGTTGGCCAAGTCTACCCTGACCCTCATTCCCCTGCTGGGAATTCATGAGGTGGTATTCGCCGTGATGACGGAGGAGCAGACTGAGGGTGTACTACGCAACGTCAACCTTTTCTTTGAACTCTTCTTCAACTCCTTCCAGGTATAATTGAAATCTTCTACAAAACAGGGCAAGCACACCTTGTCAGTACATGACGCAGCATATAATGTACTCAAACCACCAATTCACTGAAAAACTGTTCTCTTCTGTGTTCTTTTGTAGGGTTTTCTGGTGGCCATTTTATACTGTTTTGTGAATAAAGAGGTAAGAACAAAAAGAGATGAAGCACTCTGAAGTTCCTCCAAAGTCCTAAAAGGCTTCATACCTGCCATCACATCCCAAAACTTAAATAGCTTCTAATATCTGATAAACTTCGATATTAATTCATGTCCAAAGACTAAGTGCTTGAGGACGCAAACCAGTATCATCACCTGCTTGCTGCTGTGATAGATTCATTCAGCAGTGACAAATTCATTCAACAGATACACTTAATGGACTCACAAACAGAGTACTGTGATCTGCATCTTTGAGACAATTATTAATGTGGGCATTTATGATGACGAAATGCAAAAATGCACAAAAATACCCAAGAACAAAACATTGTTCTGTACTTTTACACTATATTCAAATACAGTAATTTCCCGGTACTCATGTCATTTATTGAAGTTTACTACCCCTTCTGGGGCACAGGCCACTAACAGTGGTCCTCCAGAAATCCCTGTCTGACGCTTCATTCCAGCTGGCTCCAGGAGTATTGTCTCCTGTCTATGTTTCTCTAGCTGATTGTTTTATTATAAGGTGGAGTAGCTAACCCCATGACCAAGTATTCTCCTTTTTCAGTGCAGGCTTGGGGCTGGCTTTGGTGGAGTTTAGTACCTATTTCACAAACGTTTGTAGACTCCTAAAAATATAAATATTACAATAGATGGTTAACAGTAATCTCTCACACCTCCATGCCTGTTTAGTTTATCTGTCTAGGAAACTCTTTTAAAAGAGATTTTTCTGGTTAAATATAAGGTATCAAAATAAAAGTTAATTAAAATAAACTGAATTCTGAACCAACTTTATTACAGGCTTTTAAAAGCACCTCATAATTAGAAATACAAAATTATTACAGTAAGAAAACAGAAATGTTACAAAATGACAAGTGGCATGTGATGAAACTTCAACAACTAAATATAGTATCAGTTTCTCAGTATTTAGTGTTTCCACTCTTTGCCTTTATTACAGTTTCCATTTGTTCAGGAAACTTGCTTTCAGTTTTTCAAAGAAATCTGCAGGAATATTTTTCCACTCTGTGGTTTAGTTGTAGAAGTTGGTTGCATTTTCTGCTTCTCCCTTCCCTATGCAATCTCCTTACAAATAATATATGTACACACTGTACAGCAGAGTGCCATACAAAAAGACAATTCTCAAAAACTACATGCAACAGATATCCTAAGTACAAATCAATAAAGGGTCATACTTACATAAATGAACATGTAAATGTAGAAGAATAGACTTTAAAAAGATCTATCGATCCTGATATCTAGGTTATGTTCTCATTCTCTCCTCTTTTTAAACTCAGGTCCAGTCAGAGATCAAAAAGAAGTGGCAGCGATGGAGGCTTGGAATTAGCATGCTAGACGATCAACGCAACACCGGCAGCCACACACCACAGGGAGGCTCCGGGCTCCAGTGCCAGCATGACCACCCCTGCCAGCCTGACTGTCCTGAGGGGAGCGGTGGCCACCTGTGCTTGGACGCTCCACCTTCCTCCGCCCAGCTATCCCTCCACCAGCATCATCACCCTGGAGCTAAGAAGGGCAAAGCCTACTGCTACATCTCTGCCAAGAAGCAGGTGCTGAATGGGTTAGACACGCCACCATCAGGCAACTGCAGGTTAGAAGGAGCAAACAGATACTCCGAGAGCTACTGCTAAGAGCTGTGGACCAAAAGACCTTGCTTGGTGGAGTCTATAAAGTTCTTCAAGATATATTCAAAGGATATTAGACATGATCAAATGGAGTTACTTGGGAACATTCAGTGGAGTTTACAGATACCTCTGTGATGAGGATTTGGATTAACCTTTATCTGAATGATGGAATGGAATGGAAGAACAATGCAGCGGCCGTTGATCTTGAACTTCATCAAGTCTTCAGTGCTGAGGAAACAGGGAGGTCCAAATGAATACCTGCCAACTCTCTTGGTGTACTTTTGTCTATTATTTTTTGTTTTCTACCTCTTTACCTCATTTTGGACAGCACCGGTAATATCAACACTCCGTGTGGACCAATTCTCTTAAGCAAGTCTAGACATGAAAAAGCCAATCCAATAAAAAGTAATGAATTAACTTACTGAAGATTGTCTACTCAAAAACAACAAGAAATTTAAGAAGCTGAATATGTGATGTATACAGATGAGACACACACATCACACTAATGGCTTATGATGATTGAGAATCATATACACAAAGTACTGTGCAAAAGTCAACGCCCTTCATTTATGTAATTTCCAGTCAAAACAGCCAGTACGTATTACTTTTTCAGGAGATATTTCTAAGGAGATTAGTTATTAGATATTCCACTTGCATAAAAAAGGGGAAAGTCAAAAGAAGTAAGTGAAAAAAAGCTGTTTCCAAAACTGGACTTCCAAAATTATTAAAAACATAGAGAAAATTAGGCTATAAATCAGATAATCAAAAAAACAGTGCATAAAATTTTCATCTTTGAGAGAGGAGAAAATCAGGCTCCACTCTTTAATCAAATCTAAAAATTCTGAGATTTTATAAAAATCTAAATGTGTAATTAGGATTACTTGGATGGTCTTAGAGTGAATTTTGGAGTCGTGGAAAAATGTGTGTATTTGCAAGCAAGACTCCTGAAAAAGTCTGATATTATATATAGTTGTTTTTAGCTTTTTTCCTAATCCTGAAAAGTGAGTTGACTTTGGCACAGTACTGTAGCGATCCACAAATTCCAAAATGTCACAGTCAGTAATGGTTTATGCACAGTGGCTGATGAGATTGATATATTACTGTATACCACCTGATATTTACTGATACCTAACAAGATTGTATGGTATGTGATTTGAATATATGCATATATGATAAAGTATATATCAGCTCATGTGACACTTCAGCTGGTGGTGTCACCAGTAGTGTGTATTGACCCCTAAAGCTGTCATTTTGGTTGTTAAATAGGACTTATGTAAGAGAAGACATTACCCTAAAGTCTTACAGTGCTGTATTACATTTACAGGCATTTAAGTCTGCCCACACAACAGGAGTCTAATCCGTTCATTATAACATGGCATTCCACTGAGTGGCCTAACACCCTTGCAGTGCCATAGCACAGACATCAACAGTGCACCGTATTTGTACCACAGGATTTCAAACAGTTTAGCAAAGCTGTTTAAATAACATTAAACCGTAACAACTTTATTTTACCTAGGAAGAAAGATGGAAAACTGACTGTTTCTAATTCTACAGTCTAAGTAGGTTTTGGATCCTGTTTTAACTACAGTTAAAAAGAAAAAACAAGGGCCAACATCACATATGTTCTTTTTGAAGGACCAACATCTGAAATGTTGTCTTTAAAGGACCAACAACTGAAATGCTGTTTGAAGAACATGGAATTTTTTTTTTGTTGTTGTTTAATGGCATTGAAAAGATTTCATCACAGAAAATTTTAAGAAACTGAATTCAGAGAAGTTGTTACTTGTATGACCAATATATATTTTCTACTGATGCACCAGTATGGGGTTTGTGGGCCAGTGCTGATATCCAGTATCTTCATGTGCTATGTCGATGCCAGTGCCAATACATAAACCTTTATAAAATGTGGGACTATATTTATGTGGATTTGCAGTACAGAGAACTATAACATTTATTTCTGGAGGGTTAAAAACAGTGTTGGGGTGGTTACTTAAAACTAATCCCTCACGAAATATGAATTATTCTCTCAAACTGTAATGGGATTCATTTACTTAATACTTCCTGGAAAACCCACTATTCCTTACTGTACTTCTATCTTACTTTCTCTAAAGTCCATACAGTTATCCTTTAAGTATTTTATTTAGGAAGAAAGAGACGTTAAAAGAAATGTCACTATCCCTGCCTTTACTCTGAACAACACAGCTAATTTATGCTTGATTAAAATTATTAGCTTTATGCTGTTTGAAAACCTGGAAACTCGCCAGTAGAAACATTTCAAAAACAACTTCCTCAAAAAAACAAGAAAAAAAGAAAAATCTTTATGAATAAAATGTAAACCTTGGCTGTTACTGAATGAAAATTGAGTGTGGCCTTTTCAGGTGAGGATAATGTTGACATCCCAAAAACAGGCCGAAATTTAAATGCTTATATGCCTCACGCATAATTAATGTTGTTATCTTAGAGACTTATCAGTAATACAAGTAACGTTATTCTTAGACCTGCCACAATTATTACCTAATCACCTGATTGCAATTATTTACACTGATCACGTTGTTTTCCACAACTGTTAGCTTTCAGTCATTTGTTTATCTTGCAAGAAACAAGAATTCAATTGGCTTGACACACGTCACGGGTCTTACGAAAGCATCAAAAGTTCTAACTTCTCTCTGGTCTTATAACACGTTCAGAGGGCGGTATGTTTGTTTATTTGAGCTTAAGTCATTTGGCCACATTAGGCTTGTATTTACTAATACTTTGATAGTTGCATACAATGAACAACACTAGAAAAAACAGTTGTTCATCAAAGTTATTTATATGGGAATTAATTGTCAGCTAACATTTCATGACTGTGACAGGTTAAGTTCATAAATATTATGCGTTACTTTGTTACATGAAAAAGTAATTACATTACTGTAACATGTTACATTGTACAGTGTTACACCCAACACTGGTTACCAATGCAGTAAAATATATAATGTTATAAATATAATATTATATAAAGTTACAAAATGTCCAGTAGGCCAGCGTCACCTAACCATTGTGCTCATCAAATTTCAGTTTAAATTATCAGCCAAATCTAAACACATGCTTTTTTTTTTGGTGAGTATGATATGATTCTGATATCATTGTGTAACCCTGGTATTTTCAGCCCTCAATATTTAGCAAAAAATAATTAAAAAACTGCATTATTTCCCTGTTCATATTCTGATATCATCTTAAGCTTCATGATGAAAAAGTGGACTATGAGTGCTGCATCTACCATTGAACCGTTATAGTGTTGTTGATTGAAGAGGGCTCTTTGTGGCACTGAACAGAAGCTAATTTTTTTTAATAATACATGCACTGATGATGCAGCACACTGCAAGTGTGGGAGGAAAACTAACTGCATTATACACCTTCAATGTAATATCCTGTTCATTTTAAAATGATCACCATTACAGTGTGGTAATATTGGATTTCCCAATGCATTTACATGGAAAAACTGGTTATCAGCATCGGATGCAATTTTTAAAGTCCTTTCCAACATTTTGTGGAGTTGTTTAAGGTCATACTGACGTTATTTCTAGATTAACACGTATGTATTTGCTCTACAGGGCTCATGTTCTCTGCATACCATATGAATGTTTGTTACACAGCGCATTTATTTTTCATTTTTCAGAAGTGGAAACATTGTGCCACCAATTGTGTTGTATTTACCAAAGCCAGTATTTAAGTTAGTACAGACAGTAAAACTCCTTGAACACAGTTACTACTTTCAATATACATGTCAATATACTGAGCTCACAGAGTTCTCTGAGCTACAAACAGAAAAACATCAGAATGTCAAAAGTATACCTGTGAGTGACTCTTATTGAAAATATGACTCAGCTAAAAGCCACCAAACCTCTCTCCTTCACCCCAGCCCAGCTTCGATCTTGCTCTGTAACACAACATAAATTAATTTTCTTCTGGAAGGTATGTAATATTACAGAAGTAAAACACTGCGACCGAGTCTATTGATCTACGATTGAGTAACTTTCCCTGACCCACCACCCAGCTAGTTTATCTTCTACACCCCTCGCCAAGGTCATTCCATATCCAGGGAACAGGCGCCATCTGGTGGAAGCGGGCAGGAACGGACACAAAGAAAGGTATTAGTTTTCCTCCACTAAGTCTTGTATCATCCTTCTGGTTTTGTGTCTGACAGTAATGTTGCCAAACTGTATAGTGTTTGATGGCTCAGTATGAATTTGTATCTCAAAATGTAATATAATGTTTAGTACATCAAAGATGGATGATAATAAAAGATGTGATCTTGATGCTCTCAATGCTTATTTCACACACACATTTATTAGTGACCTACAGTGCAGCACATTAACAATGACATGCTATAAACAGGCAGAAATATGGATTATTATTTTTATTATTAATATGGAAAAGGGATCAAAAGTAAGAAACTTCAGTGACTCAGCTCAACCTGTAAGCCTCATGCTTTCAGGTTTGAAAAAAACTCTTTTCTAATTGTGTCAACTGTCAGATAAAAATGTTTCCACAACAGTGCAGTTCAGCACATAGATATATTAACATCCATTATACCAGGAAATACTATAATCAAGAGCTGATTACATATATTCACACATTTGTGTATTATACTGACATATATTTCTCATATGATCTATTTCTTGGAACCTGGATTAAATCTTAGAATGCAATCAGTCTATCTTTATAGTTCTGTCCTGCACATTTCTGGGCTTATTTGCAATGAGGGAAATGACAAATGCTTGTTCAGTGAGAAGTGGCAGCTCAATTTGCAATTTTATATTCTTTAAATTTCATATATTATCTTATTCCAACAAGATCTATAAAATATAAAATCTAAAATATTGACAACCAATATTGGGAACCTTGTGGATCACATAACTAGGTCTTGTTTTTTCTCAATATAATTTCCTATAAGCAGTTGTTCTTAGTTGTTCTCATTATTAAATCTTATTCAAATCTTTCAGAATAGATTGCTGGAAATGTATCAAGGTGATGGTTATTGCTCTCTATGCCCTCCTTAGAGCATAGCACTCATAGGAGCGGGGCAGGCGACCAAAGCTGCAAATGGCAGGAGTGATGTCAATCTCCTCTGGCGGCTGAGTGGCTCTGAAGGTGAAGCGCTGGAGGAGGGAAGTGAGGAAGATGAAGAGCTCCACTCGGGCCAGAGCCTCACCCACACAGGCCCGCTTTCCTATACAACATACAGACACCACACATACTGTTAAAATGGTTTGTCTGTTCAACCTCAGAAATGTACTTAATGTGATAACAAGCAATTTAACTGGATCAATTTAACTCAAATACATACTTTGAATTAAACAATGCACAGAAAATTTAACTTAGATGAACAAATATTTTACATCAATACATACTAACAAAAGTCTAAATTTGTGGATATATGCACTTTGAGTGTATTAAATAAAAAAAACAATAATCTCTGAAAATATGTTTCCCCTCACTGTATGCACATAAAAATATCAGATACTGGCATCTGCCCACAATTCCCATATTGTGCATCCCCTCTAAAAAGCCCTAATCTGAAAGGCCTAGGTTTATTCTGACATGTTGTGAACGTGATGTCAATAATGTTAATGATCTGTCTACTTGTGAAGTCATGATAAAGAGCATAGCTTTTAGCTCACCCATTCCAAACACAACAAATGCATCACTCTTCTTGAATCGTCCCTCTTCATCCAGAAAGTTCTCTGGGTCAAAATGATCTGGGTTCTTCCATAGTTCAGGGTCGAAAAGCACAGAAGATAGCAAAGGAAGAACCATGGTTCCCTGAAGAAACAACATAGTGAAGCTTTACAAATACATTTATTGGACTTGGATTTGTGTGTGCAATGAACTCTGTACTTGAAATAGGCATGCAGCCCAGTAAGTTAGGGTACCTTGGGAATTAAAAAGCTTTTAAATTCAGTGTCACAGAGCGTTTTATGTGGAACAGCAGTTGGGGAGAGGTCCATAGTGCGCTGAATCTCATGGATGACTGCGTCTGTGTATGGCATGTTCTTTCTATCATCAATGGAGGGGCACCGGTCTGACCCCACCACCTCATCGATCTCCTTCTGGACTCGTGCTATTAGCAATGACAAGAGAGCGGATTAATGACTTCTCTCTACACACTATAAGCTAGTACATTCATATCTGATCATGGATGGATAATAATGTATTTCACAAGCTATACAGGGTGTATTACCTTAATGTTACATAAGCGCGTTAAAGGTAGAAGAAAATTTGCAGTGTAGTTTTGGACATACTAAACAGTTTTGTTCCAGACACAATGTATTACTCCTATATCTCACAGAGTTCCTTTTCACTGTTTTAGTTTAACCCCTTGAAGTTATATACTAAGGCTTATAATTCTGTGATTACATGGACTACAATGCAAACTGGCTTAGTTTATTCCTAGACAATAGAAGTGTGTAGTAAAACTCTGGATCTGCTGGTGGATCCTGGCCATTTAAGGGGTTAATAGGGGTGTGGCTATGTCTTAACTGACAAGCCACACCTCTACCTTAATAAAAGAGTGTGGAACAGTACTGCAATTAGCGTTGCTACTCCAATAAGGAGATACGTTTTCTGGTGAATAAACAAACCTAGGGATGGGAGAAACAAGGCTTTCTAAAGCTTTGAAACAACGTAGCCTTTTGAAAATAATTAATTATTCCATCGCATGGTGAGGACATCTATGGTCAAACTTGTGTAAATGCACCTTGAAAACCCACAAATATACTTAAAACTCAATAATTTGGAAGTTTCATTGTTTCTTGGATGGGTGGTAGTTAAAGGTGTGTTAGTCTATTGAGGATACACCCTGGACAGGTCTCCAGTCCACAGCAGGGCAACATATTGCATAGAAAGTGCATAAATTTGGACACAAGAATTATCTTGGATTGGTATGTAAGTTGGACGGTTTGAATGACTGACTTTACTTAATAAATCAAGTAGAGAAATCTTTATCACTCAGAGAGTCAGGATAAGTAATGCTTTGGACGAACCATCTTCAGAGAGATGTATGTAATATCAGTCAATTGCATTAAACTCCTGTGCAAGCAACAAAGCTAACTAGGTAAGGCTGCAGTTGGATTCTTATTTAGACTTTCCGTTCCCTTCATTTCCTTAAATGCTGCTGTAGAGGCGATATTTGCCTCATAACAGTTCATTACAATGAAAAACAGCCAAGCAAAAACACTTTCAATTATTCGCAAATCCATATGCTAAGTGTTTATAGGCTCATCTTGGACAAAAGAGACACGGGAGTTTGATGCACCCTCTAACCAAACACCCACTGCAGCACAAAGGTACATTTGGAGGTATTCAGATAGCAGGATTAGACAAAAAGTTTCTCTGAATATGTGAAATGTAATTGTATGCCATCATATTTACCAAGCAGAATAAAGCAGTTCTCTGCCAGAGGGGTTGGGGTATTGCAGTGCTCTTTCAGTGTTAACATCCTTAAGCTAGGTTCTTAAAAGTAAGCCCAAGCTCATAGCCATAATTGTCACTGTAATTAACATTTTTGTTTTAGCTATGAAAAGTATCACACTCATTGTGCTCTACTGAGATGTAGGCTATATAGCATATTTTGATCTCCTCTCAAAGAATGTTAACATAATGGCATATCGTGTGTCTAAATAGGCTGGACACAGAGTTGTTGTAGTTCACCTTAATCACTACACAGTAAAACTCACTGCACATCTTTATGAAAGAATTAAGTTAACACAACTTCAATACTACAGAACGTTGGAGTAACTTAATTTGAATCGAATTAACTCAAAAATGAATTATTGATAACGCAGTCATTTTGAGTAAGATTGTTTTTTTCAGCATGTTTTGAATTAAGGTAACTTTATTTAAATTTATTATACTCAGTATTTTTATTGAACTTGACTTTATATGCAAATACAAACAGGCCAATGATGGGTTGTTTTTAGTGTGGCTTAATGTGATAGACAGCACAAATGTTTGCATTTAAATGATTTGAACTTTTGTGCTTTTTTCATAACTTTATTTTGATGATTTCAGACTCAAAGATCCCATCAAACGAGATCTTTGAGTTGAATAAACTTATTGCAATTTAGTTTAGACTTCTCAGCTTTACTTGATAAATGTTTGGTCTGCGCAACTTTCTTGAGTAAAAATCACATCATTCCTATTGGCTCTTAGTACCATATATTTACATGTTGGGCATGTCTCTTCATCTTCTGTGTGTGAACTTCTGTGTTCTCCCCAGCCTACCTTCCCTTGTGTTGACTAGATCTAAATCTGTGTTTAGACAGATGATTTATTTAGTTTCTCTCTGCTGAATGTAGTTATTCTGTGGTTAAATGCCATAGAGATTACATCTGTACTCTAAGCTATACTGTCAGCATTTGGTGAGGTTGTCTGTAGCATTGTTAAGGTGGACAAGACATTGTAACAAATGTCTATGATCATATTTCTGCAATACAGTATGAACTTATCAAAATGATAGCCTAATGGTGGATTTAATTTACAATTACTTAATTATATTGAGTTAAAACAGCTTAACCATAACTCCCAAATACTCAATCATTTTAATATAAAAAATGGATTGGAGTTAGTACAATTTACTCAATTTACTTAAGCATACATTAGTTATTGAACTTAAAACATTTGATGTGAACAGTTTCCTCAAATCATTTGAGTTGACTTAACTAATCAGGTTTTACAGTGTAGAGGTTCTCATATCTTCAATTTTGACTCATGTGTCTTTAATTTTTGTATAAGTAGCATAGGGTAAAGGAAAGATGCAATATGTCTTAAAATGAAACATTACTAGCCTAGGCACTTGTTCATAGCAGTGTGCATGTAAACAAAAATAAACATTTGCTGCACTCCAGCACAAAACTCAAACTCTGCAGCAGTCCACAACACAGCCTATCCAGTCAAGGAATAGGCCACTCTTTTATGGGAAGCATCATAGAGGTCTTCTAGGACCAAAAGCGATGGGCTATTGGGTAGACCATGCATGTCATGCCACTGTATTGTTTCTTGGCGGTAATGTCCTCCCACTGCTTGATACAGAACCAATGACACCATTGGTCTGTTTTTTGCTCTGGCATGATACAGCACTTTTGCACTATTAAAAATTAGCCAAACATGTTCTTAAGGCTGAGTGTGCAATGGGATGTCCCGTGTGATGTTATTCCTCACCTTGGATGTCTGGATACTTCATCATGAGCAGCAGGCTGTGTCTGAGGGTGGAGGAGCTGGTCTCAGTGCCAGCACTAAGTAGGTTTATCAAAGTGCTCAAAAGATTGCTGAGGTGAAATTCTGTATTAGGATTGTGCTTCTCCTGCAAAACACACAAACTTATAGTCTATAACTGTTAGTGACAGGCAACATGACTACCTCAGTCATCTTATCTGTCTTCCCAAGAAGCTGAAATGATCTGAGAAATGTTCCAGATGTACATGGTGGTTATGTAAATATGTGAGTCTTCATTTCAGTTTTATTTGGTGTGAAAAGATCAGATATTAATCATCTATCATCTATAATAATCTATAAGCACACATAGTCTTTCCATGTTTTATTTCTGTTATTCCAATTTGAGATTTAGATTTTTATAGTGTAATATAGTGTTAATATAGTGTTCTCTGTGAAAACCGAAGGCCAGCCAATGCAGAGTATTTACAATGAATAAACATAGCAGAGTGACATAAAGAGCACATGGAGAAAACTTTACCTCCTCCATTCGTATAAGAAAGGCCTCAATGAAGTCCTGTGGTGGTAAAGAAGGATCCAGCGTCTTCATCCGTGCCTCTACCTCAAGTTTAAGAGAAACTTTGGCTTCCTCCATAATCGCAAACATGTCATGGAGCCGTCCAGGGAAGAGGCCAACTGTTCTGGGAAAAATGTTATAGGCCTGTAAAGGAAAAGAACACAAAAGGGGCCTTTTATAGGCAGCAGAGGTAAAGTTGTATAGTTATTAAATAACCTTTGTATTATTTTTATTATTATATTCTGGCAATACAATTAAATCTACTTGCTGAATGGATGTAACAAAAAGGTAACATGTACAGCGGGCTAAATAAATATTGATCCAGTACGAAAAATAAATCTGGTGAAGGAGAACATCAGTGGTGAAAAGAACTATACTACATTTAAGTAGAAGTTGAGTATGCATGTCTGTTTTTTCAGCTCCAAATTGTGACTGGCCACAATCGGTTCTCTCCCTGAAAGTTACTGTAACTGTACTGACAAGCACGTTGATGAAGTAGAATATTGCATTTAAACTGCACTTGCATTAATAAGAAATATCAATTAAAGTTAATATATCCAAAAAACAAACACACAAAAATGGACTGATATTTGTCAAAGCATTGTGAGTAGACCAGTTATACAGGATTAAATTCAAATATTACAGAGGCATACAGTACCTGTCCAAGAGGGCTATTTAGAACATTGAAGTAGGTAGTAATAGCTCTTATCAAAAGCTGTAACTGTGGGTCACCAGATTTAAATCTTTGGCCAAGCATAACCGAGCAGATCACGTTGCACACTGCTTCAGATATCAGGCCTCCGGGATTGAAAGCAGAGTCTGAAGAGGGAAAAAAGATTGTTCTGAATGATTGAATTATGCTAGAAACTACAATTAACCTATCCATGCCTAACCTTACATACTTTAATTATTAGTCCCTCCTGGACCCAACAGCTTCATATTTGTTAGAGTATTAGAAGCACAAAGCATAAAGAAGGCAAATCAATGTTGAAGAAAGTGATAATTCTATTAAGCTTTATTACACCAATTACCCCTGTTCAGGCAGTACACAACTGTTGATTACAATTACATACTAGTTTTCCAAAAACTTACTAAACCAAAATCATCTTACATCTGTTGCTAGGTTTTTATACAGTTATCTAAATGCCTGTGTGCACAAGGCTTCACCCCACTTTCAAGATCACTCCACATCATTTCTAAGGTTTTATCACTTTCAGTGTTATGCAAAACAGCATAACAGCAGTGGCCCAAATTCTATGCCTCATTTAACCATGAACACAAACAATGAAAGAGCTTTGTAACATGAGAAAGTAGTTGAAAGAGTGGACAGACAAGTTTTCAGCTGCTGATTCTTATACTGAACAGCTTATGGTCAAGTCCTTGTTTTGCGATAGAATAAGTAGGGCTGTAATCAAGACCACCTTTGGTGTAGTCACAGTCCAAGAGTATGCAGAGTCGAGACTGAGTCATGACCAAGTAAAAATGATGGCAAGACCAAGTGAAAAACCTGAAAAACCTGAAGTCTTTTACTTCTTCCACTTGGTATTTTCAAATAGTTTGCTGGAGTCATTTAAAGGTGAGCTGTAGCCCTACAGATTCACTTGGGAGGACAGGACTGCCCTTATAATTCTACATTTATTGCTTTCATTTTGCCTTATTGTTTAACTGAAATGATTTAATTACATAATTAATTACATAGTAATGCAATGTATTCCATTCTGTATTGACAGGTGTTAGGTCTGCTGTTCTGATTCTGTCAGAAATTGACACAATCACAGCAAAAATGTAAAGGGTGTGTTTTTTTCTGCAACACAAAACTGTAACTCTTCATCAAATTCACATCATAACAAAATATCTCCTATTAAGGGATGTAGAGTGCTCAATAGCTGATGGACAAGAAGATGGAAGATAAACAACCACATACACTAATAAAGCATATCTTTTCATTCTTTTAATCAATACAAAGTTTAAAGGTAATATTTTAATTTTGTTATTGGTTAGTTTGTGTAACGTCAGGTTTTTGTGGTTAATCGTATACTTTACAGTAAGTGGTGCATTTGGAAGTGATTCATCCTCTTCGTGCAGTGTTTGGCTGTTTGCCTCCACCCTATTTTTCCCCATGAATTAGTTCCCTTCTCTGCTGTTTCAATTAAGAGCATTTTCATGAATAGAAAACTGCTGACTCTGGGTCTTCTTCTGGGCCGACACTAAAGTATGATAGCACTTTCTGTAAAACAAAGGTTTTATCATATGAAGCCAGATAAACAGATAGATTTTAACTAGACACCATATTATCACAATAACGATTTCATTCATGAAAAAATCAAAATAAAGTTGAGTCATTAAGACATAAATTGAGGCCTCAATTTCATTTTAACACTATTGCATCATGTTGCCTCAGGGTAGCAAACTCATTTTCCTTCTTTTACAATGACATGAATCATATACTGTATGGACAAAAGTATGTGGACAACCCTCCTAATTACTGAGTTCAGGTGTTTGAACCACACTCATTGCTAACAGGTATATAAAACAGCATATAGCCTTGCAACCTCCATAGACAAACACGTGCAGTAGAATTGTACCGAAGAGCTCAGTGACTTGTATCTCTGTCATAGGATGCCAACTTTGTCACAAGTGAGTTTGTGAAATTTATGCCCAGGTAAATCTACCCCGGTTAACTGTAAATGTTATTACTGTGAAATGGAAGCATCTAGGAGTAACAACAGCTCAGCCACAAAACAGCACACCATGTAAACTTACAGATCAGCGCCTGCCAATTGTCGAAATGCATAAAAATTGTCTGTCCTCTGTTTAATCACTCCTCCGAACTATCTCTGGAAGCAACATCAACACAACAACTGTTAGCTAGAAGCTTCATGAAGTGGGTTTCCATGGCCAAGCAGCTGCACACAAGCCTAAGATCACTATATGAATGGCAAGCGTCAGTTGGAGTGGTGTAAAGCTGACGCTGGACTCTGGAGCAGTGGAGACGTATTCTCTGAAGTGATTACTCACACTTCACTTTCTGGCAGTTTGATGGATGAAGCTGAGTTTGGTGGATGCCAGGAGAATGCTACCTACTGGAATAAAGGGTGCCAACAATAAAGTTTGGTGGAGGAGGGATAATGGTGTGGGGCTGTTTTTTAAGGTTTGGGCTCGGCCCTTTAGTTTCAGTAAGGGTAACGTTAATGCTACAGCATGCAAAGACATTTTAGACATTTATATGTTTCCAACTGCAACAGTTTGAGGAAGGCCCTTTCCTGTTTCAGCATGACTGTGTAGCTGTGCACAAAGTGAGGTCCATAAAGGCATGGTTTGATGAATTTGGTGTGGAGGAACCCCAGTGGCCTGCACAGAGCCCTGACCTCAACCCAACTGAACACTTCTGGGATGAATTGGAACACTGATTGTGAGCCAGGCCCTCTCATCAAAAACGGGCACAAATTCCCACAGACGCACTCCAAAGAGTCAAGGCTGTTACAGCCGCAAAAGGGGGTCAACTATATATTAAGGTACACAGTTTTGTAATGGGATGACTAACGAGCTCATAGATGTGATGATCAGGTGCCCATATACTTTAGGCTATATAGTTTATTTAATGATGATAATACTTTATAATGAAGGAGAGTTTGAATAAACCAAGAAAACGCTTGCATTTGGTCACACTATTTCCTGGGATGGAGTTTGAACCCTTTTGGCATGGTGCAGCTTGTGACTGCACAAGAGAATTTCTTTCGGAAAAGCAAATGTCCATGACTGTCATCCATCCAAGAACATGATTCATAAATAATAAAGTCTGAATTTCATTTTTTTTAACATTCAGCATCATGTAAATTCATTCTAGAGAGGTAGAGGTAAAAAAGCTGGCACCCAATCATAAAGATAGAGAATAATATGGAAGATGGAAAACCACATAAAACAAGCATATCTTTTCATGCTTTTTTTACACTATTGTGCAATAGTGTAATGAAGTTAGCCAGTAGCAAAGGATCAGTTATTTTCTTTATTGTTTAATTTTTCATTTATAATTAGTTTTTTAAAAAAATACATGAAATAGAAAATAACATTGAATAGATTTTTCCCTAATATTTTACCATGTTTATCCCACATAATTCTGCAAAAAATGTTTCTTTTCAAGACCACCTTTAAAAGCAAATTTGTCCTGGAGGCTTTTGTGTGTGTTTAGGACAGTCACTTCACTATTAATTATCTCTAATTAAAAGTCTTATGTTGGCTCAAAGATTGCAATAATAGACAAAGGAATGGTTGTTCATTGGATGAGATGCCTAGTGTTTTAAGTACTCTAGTGTTTGAAACATTTCACATTAAAAGTGCAACTGGGCTTATAGGGTATGTAGCCTTACTGGGGGCTTTTATGTTATGAATCAAGAAAAAACAGGTGCGATTGCTGTCACACCTGTGGTGGTGTGATGGACCTTTTCTCTTACAGTAAACTATGTCAAAATTAGTTAATGTGATTTTAATACAACAACACAGAATTGCTGGGGACAGATATCACATTTGGAGGTTAAACATTAGGGCAGCAAAAGGCTCAAGACTTAAAGACCTTGAAAGATTCCATTCAAAGATTATCTTACTACAACTTTGATAAAAAAAAGACAGAGAAGTTCAGCAAATGACAGACAGTAGTAGTTATTTACCTCCAAATGTGCTGAAAGTTTGCACCAGACAGCTGGCCTCTTCCTTCACCTTGTCCTCGATGCTTCGGCGGCCCATTCCAAAGTTTTTCAATGTTGTGAGACTGAACCTGCGCAGTTGCTTCCACCTGTCCCCGCTGCTGACCAAAAGACCTGCAGAGCAGGGAGACCTTTTACAGAACAAGCAGAGCAGGGAGCACAGAGTATTCTGACCTGACTGTCTCCATGAATAGAAACAGCCTGTTTACATCAAAACTCCAAAAAGTACATACAGCAAAAATAGTCATTATTCTATCTATTCTTGACTAGAGCCAACTTCAGAAACAATTGTCAGCTTCACAGCAGGCGTTCTTTAGTTGATGAGCTGTGCTGTCATTTTACCAAACATATATTTTTTAATTCAGGCCAAAAACTTCATTTTTTTTCACCAGATGGTTTTGGTAGTTTTCACAAATGTTGTGATAATCTCTTATGGTACTTTTTTGAAGATGAGGGTAGAAAATGCATACATTTGGAAATCAGGTACAGAGCTCTGACTGCAATGACACAAACATAGCAGAGCTTTTCTCTACACACTCCTGTATCGGTGGAGAATAAGAAATGAAAGTGTAATTTCATATCAAAATATATAATGAACATAATGCAGACAGCAGACAAGAGTGTCTAATAATGTACAATGCATATATGCATGTTTTACTTCAAGGAGTAAAGTTACATGGTAATGTTTTGTACGAACTGGCTACACCTGCCAGCATTTAGCCAATGAACTTCAAAACAGGCAGGATCCTGCATTATCTATCTATCTATCTATCTATCTATCTATCTATCTATCTATCTATCTATCTATCTATCTGTTACATTTATCTATTATAAACAACACATTGTAAAAGTTTCAAAAAGGCCTTATTTTGTTATCTGTTCTGAGTTTATTTTTACATTTTTGAAAGTGTAAAATACAAATAATAAAGCCAGCACTAAAAATTTATGTAAATGTATATGAAGTTTCTTTTCATTGTCTCTGGTCTGCATGTTTGTATTTTCCTTAGGTCAAAGACAGCAGCAAACTCACTGTGTACCTGTGTTCTCAGTTTTTTGCCCTTGCAATGTGGGAAAAAAACGTATTTGTTCTAGAAATTCATATTGTAGCATTCTGCTACTGGCAGGCGCCTGAGACTTTGGAGACGAGGCTATGCAGGTGACCACACGCAAAGAATGGCATGCATGCGTCCTCTGGAAAAGGGACTATTTATGTTGCTTATGTTGTTGCCTGTTAGTTTAAGTTGTGTATACATGTTATTTGTGTTTTTAGTGCCGGGGGCTGTGGGTTTTTCGTGGGGTGAATGGTGTGGCTACAGTATGATAGATGTGTTTGGTATTTTTATGTGAATATCTCATTTTTAGGAGAATGTTTATGATTCTGCAGCCAGTGTTTCAATATAGCAGATTTGCTAAGTGTGTTGTGTTTTGAGAGTGTGTGTGAATATATTAGAACAGTCCTAAAAAATGTGTAATCAATCAAGAAAAAAATGTAAAGAACAAAAAAAATAATGTGCCATAATTGATCTTGATTTCTGGCTTTACATCACAAAACCAGGAGTTTCAATAACGTGTTTAGATTGTTTATATTCACTGTGGGCTCCAACCCACTGCACTATTTTGTTTAATAATCACATCCACTGACATTTCAGCATAGAAATAAAGCTCTCAAGCTCTGATGTTATGTACTCTGCTTTGAATGAACTCACCATATCCATTGGTGACCTTCATTAATAGGGGATAGGTTGATCTGCCACTGAACTCTTCACCCAGGACAATCATAGAATCCTTCAAGGCTTGATATCCAGAGATCACCACAACAGGAGTGTTGGCAAACCAAACAGTGAAAACAGGGCCATACTTTTTACTCAGCTGGTGGAGAAAATGGTGAGACAAGATAAAATTTAAAATCATTTTTTCAAGGTTTACATTTCAATGTACTTAAAACAAAAGAAACTCTATAAAACAAAACTGATACTGATCAAAGTAAAAAAAATGCTATATGGAATTTTCTCCACTTTAGTGAACGATCAGAGTGGGAGAGGACCATTTAGGAGTGGAGAAGCCAGTGCAAGGTGTCCAAGTTACATACAGAATGTATGACCACTTATCTCTCCTATTAACACTGTGCTCTTGAATTTAAAGGAACTCAGACTTGCTCTACATGCCTTAAATACAGTTATACCTGATTAAGGTTATCGGACTGCAGGTCAGTGAATTGGCAACAAGGTCATCTCCTTCAAGTAATGATCATTCACATCCAAAGAAAGCTGCACCATTCATAGTTAAGACAGTGTGTTTTAGGTGTTTTAAGCTCTTCTGCTCTTGCAGTAACCAAGAACACTGCATAATACCTGTCTTGACTTTAGTAGCTAACATTTTTCTCAAATGCTAAAAACATTTAAAGAATGCTACCTCATTTCCTCAAGACAGTAAACACAAATCCAAAACTACACACTAATTTGTGTATAATGAGTAAAGAGCCAAATGTGTTTTCGTAACAACCCGTGCATTTTGATTATGCTATTGAAATCTACATTAATTATGTAATTATGTAGTTACATTAAAATAAATATTATCTAATTCCAAATACTTAGTTTTCTGACTGCACAGTGCAGTGCATGTTCTGTAAACAGAAGTACAGTATTTTACACCCATTAGTTTACAGTAATTGTTTATTCTGGGACATAATATACATCCTGATGTTCTTATGGTGTGTGAACAATTATTTTCTTAGTGTTTATCCCTAGGAAATTGTGGGTTCATTTAGTTTCAGGTTAAGATGACTTGAGTTAACTTTATTGAATGCTAATGCTTTCTAAACGAGCACAGTGTGTAACTTACGCTGTATGGATGGATTTGCTTGTAGAGTTTTGCCCAAAAGATTCAACATCTTTAGCATGTGCCAAAATCAGCAAAAGTGTTTAGAGTTTTGAGAAATGTGTCTTTTTCTCTGGGTAGCCGAAGAAATGGTTTGAAATATTGGCTCATAGAATCACTTTTAGCATCAAATTCATTAAGGTAAAGTTAGATAGTTACAGAGGGTCCTGGACACTTGAAGGTGATGGTAAGATCACAATCCAGGCAATTGCACTTTGAAGAAGTCTCAGGGCCTTTTCTAGCTATAAGTGGTAGCTTATGCTCCACGTTTGTCTCCAATCAGCTGCAAACGTTTTCTCATGGCCTTATTCAACTCAGTTCAGTTGTAGTAAAATAGTTTTTGCATAGTAAATCACTGCGTAGTGAAGCAGGTTGTTTTCTGAACATAGCACCTTGAAGCTCATCACTATGGAGACACTTGTTCAAAGCAGATCCCAAAGAGACCAGCCTCAAGGGGTAGCCAAGAACCACATTTCCACTGACTTTCAGCTCCTGAATCCAAAGCAAATCTAAACTGAATGATAGACAAATTGATGCAGTACATGCATTACTTGCTTTTTCTGACATTAATTCACTGGAATATATAATGTTATTTATGGTATTTGACTGGTATTCATGGGAAAACTGTTTTCTGGGATACAGTTTTACATAACAGAAGGAAAACAGCTCTAACAGTTCTATCAAAACTTTGACTGGGAATTGCAGCAAATTGTTGGTGCATGTGCAACAAATGAAGAACTACTGCCACTGTATTTTTGATTTGCATTGCATTGCTATTTTCATGTGAAATTATGAGAGGAGTGACCCGATCTATCTATCTATCTATCTATATATATATATATATATATATATATTACACCCATTAGTTTACAGTAATTGTTTTTTCTGGGACATAATACACATCCTGATGTTCTTATGGTGTGTGAACAATTATTTTCTTAGTGTTTATCCCTAGGAAATTGTGGGTTCATTTAGTTTCAGGTTAAGATGACTTGAGTTAACTTTATTGAATGCTAATGCTTTCTAAATGAGCACAGTGTGTAACCTACGCTGTATGGATGGATTTGCTTGTAGAGTTTTGCCCAAAAGATTCAACATCTTTAGCATGTGCCAAAATCAGCAAAAGTGTTTAGAGTTTTGAGAAATGTGTCTTTTTCTCTGGGTAGCCGAAGAAATGGTTTGAAATATTGGCTCATAGAATCACTTTTAGCATCAAATTCATTAAGGTAAAGTTAGATAGTTACAGAGGGTCCTGGACGCTTGAAGGTGATGGTAAGATCACAATCCAGGCAATTGCACTTTGAAGAAGTCTCAGGGCCTTTTCTAGCTATAAGTGGTAGCAGGTGGTAGGTTCAGTTGTAGTAAAATAGTTTTTGCATAGTAAATCACTAGCGTAGTGAAGCAGGTTGTTTTCTGAACATAGCACCTTGAAGCTCATCACTATGGAGACACTTGTTCAAAGCAGATCCCAAAGAGACCAGCCTCAAGGGGTAGCCAAGAACCACATTCCCACTGACTTTCAGCTCCTGAATCCAAAGCAAATCTAAACTGAATGATAGACAAATTGATGCAGTACATGCATTACTTGCTTTTTCTGACATTAATTCACTGGAATATATAATGTTATTTATGGTATTTGACTGGTATTCATGGGAAAACTGTTTTCTGGGATACAGTTTTACATAACAGAAGGAAAACAGCTCTAACAGTTCTATCAAAACTTTGACTGGGAATTGCAGCAAATTGTTGGTGCATGTGCAACAAATGAAGAACTACTGCCACTGTATTTTTGATTTGCATCGAATTGCTATTTTCATATGAAATTATGAGAGGAGTGACCCGATCTATCTATCTATCTATCTATCTATCTATCTATACATATCACACATATATATATATATATATATATATATATATATATATATATATATATATATATATAAAAACACTAAACACACTATAATGTGTTACCTCAAGGTAATGTTTATATGGCTCCTTTACACGCAGCTGAAGAAAGTTTCCGAGCACTGGAGCTGGAGATGGTCCTGGAGGAAGCCTCTCTAAAGGCAGTCGACGCTCTTTCCCTCGACTCTTCCATAACAAAAATAAAACTGCGGTGAGCATGACTGCAGGCAAAACGTATCCCAGAAAACCGTCCATTTTGTACAAGTTGGGAAAACCCGATGTTAAAGGTTGGCAGAAAGGGTCGCTAAACAACAAATCCAACTGGAAGACGAGCGTCCAAAGTCCTGTGACGAAGCGCTTAAAGCTGTACAGCGCAGTGTGTTAATGTGGGTTTGTAGCAACGACGGACCAGGTGTACAGCTCTGCCCTCTGGTCCTCAGAGGACACGATTCGTTTCACTTGCAAACAATTACATAAAGACAGGATTTAAATGCAGTAACGAGAGTTTTTTAAATGACGAAAAGTGGGACGAATAGATTTTAAGCTGTTTTTGCTCTTTGAGTGACAGGAGACAAGGGAGCACACCATTTAGCTTCTCTTTCCACTGTCCTGCCACGCCAAGAACTTAGATGGCACTTTCCGTGAATTGAGTTCATTTTAGGACTCAAAACTCTTTAAAACTGTACTTTTCTCTTTGGTGGTTTTTTGACAAAGTATTAATTAAAGTAAACGCTATACCGTTTGAAAATGTTAATTTTCCTCCTCAGGCTCTGTTTAGTCAGAAATAGTTCAGAAATATTCTTGACACACAACGCATTCTGAACTTAAATACGTCTTCTCACAGCACAACATTTTACAGCAGAAACAGTCAAGCGCTGCTCTCCAGCAGAGCCCGATAAATTCTTTAAAACAATCAGCGCGCAGTATTCGGGTCACGTGATGCAACATTACCGCTCTCCGTTTTAGAAGATCTTTCTGTGTATGCAGGACCAGATCTGCCAAAATGAAAAATAAACAAAATTAAAAATAAATGATTAAGTAAATTAATATATGAATTAGAACTGCAAAAAATAATGATGATAAATCTAAAAGTAAATAAAAATACACAGAAATTATTATATTAACAAATAAAACCTTACATAAATTAATATGTCTGCATTTACTTATATGTCTATTTAGTAATTTCCCCTCCTCACTAATTTTTGTATTTATTTATTTAATGTGTTTCTTTGTTAACATTTTTTTCTGTTTTTATTAATTTATTTCCGTAACTATTCTGTATTTAATTTCTGTATTTCCTTGTCCTTATGATAATAAAGGGGCTGTTAATCAATGTTGTCACGGTGTCTTAATATTCCTATTGGTTGATCAATATCAGATTCTGTAAGGACAAGGACAAGACCGTACAATAATGGCTGCTTACAGGCAGCAGACCGCGAGAGATCTGAGAGTCTTGGCTGATCTGGCTGAAAATGCAAGTATGGATTGTTTACTCTTCTGTTGGAGGCTGTGGCGACAGTTTGTTCCATTTTGCTGCATCTGCTGGTACAGAGGTCAACCCTGTAGTGTTCAGAACTTTGGAGGAGGTGGTTCATCATCCCAAACATTTAGACACCCTTCTCACATACTGCCTGTGGAAGCCATCAAGAGCATAGGTAGTGTTAGGAGTCTTGCCCAAGGACTCTTATTAGTATAGTGTGGGGTGTTCACCAAGGCAGGGATTGAACCCCAGTCTACAGCGCAGGAGGCAGAGGTGTTACCCACTACACCACACCAACCAATGTATTGGCAGGTTTGTCTGTCTGTGACATTGCAGTTCTTTTTGGAGGTAGTGAAAGAAATAGTTTAATTAATTCTTTTTCTCCTGGGCTTGATTACAAAGATTGAATGTGAAAAACACACCCTCTCGTTATCATCTAAATGAAGAAATACAGAAATAAATAAATGAATTAATGAAAAAATAAAGTAGTAATTGAATTAATGAATCATATAAATAAAGTGAACAATTGTTAAAGATGTAGAAACAGAAAAAAATATAATAATGAACAGACATTAGTAAAAAAATAAATCATACAGAAATAACTACATTGAGAAACATGTAACTGCAGAAAAAGGAAATATGTGTATAATTACAATCAAAATAAGCAATATATACTTTATTTAGTTATTTTTATTTATTAATTAATTTACTGAGTCATTTATTTTTTTTATTTTGTTTATTTTTCATTTTGCCAGATCTGGTCTACCATATCTGCATCCTGCTGAAGGGCTATGCAATGGTTGTCAGTCAAATGCAAGACACCACTGAAACAAGGCAAGGCTTGAAGTGCCATTATTGCTGTCTGTTAAAACTAATAGTACTACCACTATAATTGATTGAATAACGGTAATGATTTAATATGTTTAGATCTGCAAGTGCTGATACACTATATGGACAAAAGTATCGGGACACCTACACTTTACATGCACTGGAGCTTTTGTGACATTCCATTCTAAATCTGCAGGCACTAATACAGAGTTGGTCCCCCTTTTGCAACTATAACAGCTTCCACTTTTCTGGGAAGCTTTTTACAAGATTTTGGAGTGTGTGTGGAAATTTTTGCTGCTGAACTTTTGATGTTGGACAAGAGGGTCTGGCTTGCAATCTCATTTGAGTAACACTTTAAAAATACAAAGATTTGTTCAGGACAGTAGAATTTGGTTTAAGACAGTGAAGTTGGAAAAAAGTTAATGTTGTATTTTAAGCCTTTCTGTTCTTGCACTAGCCAAAAATATTGCCTTAATACCTGTCTTGCCCTTTCTTTCTTTCTTTCTTTCTTTCTTGTATAAGATGGTGAAAAAGCTGCAAAGCCATGGTTCAGACTGCATCCTTTGTGGTCTGTAAATTCCTAATTTTACTATAATTATGGTGAAGTGAAAAGGTCTCGGAGCAACAACAGATCAGTCACAATGTGGTAGGCCATGTAAGCTGAAGTGTGAAAACACGTTTGTCCACAGTTGCAAACACTCACTAGCAAGTTCCAACCCAGTTAACATGTCCAGGTGGCACCCACATGGGTTAACAACGGGCTGGCAACTGGACCCCCTTTGGGCAATCCAGTTGCGGCCCACAAAGATTTGTCTATGAAGTCCATATGTGTATTAGCCCATGTGGGCCACTATTGAAGCCAAGCTGAGCTGCAAAAGGGGCTCAGGTGAGAAATCATCCACTGGACCCACATGGGCCCTTTACTGTGTCCCCTTATATGGGTTAGTAATGGGCCAGAGTGGGCTACAAATGGGGCCCTTATTGGCAAGATGGGCAGCAAACCTAGTCCTCAAGTAAGACAACACATGTACTACATGCAGGCTACTGCAGGCTAACAGGCACAAGTCTGTGATATTTTAAATGGCCCCATGCCTTCTAGTTACAATGCATTATTGTCAACAGGCATCACTTTTCTATCACAACATGATCAAACTGAATGTCAAGCCAGTGTAGTTTCATTAGTGCAGACAAAGAATAAACAAGTAATGATATATTCATCTTATTATGTTCATATTTTAATAACTTATGAATTGAAGAGAAAATGAAACGTCAGCCTGTAGAAATCATGTTTTAATTGAATAATGAAGTGACTCAAGAGTTACATTTGACATTTAATCAGACTTCAGATAAAGTTGCTCCACATTCATGTGCTTCACCAGAGGAAAGACATATTCTAAATGAAAAATCCTCTTGCTCTCAGGTACTTCTCCTAGACATGGTTAAGTCCAGTTTGAAATCAGAGTGAGACTTAAGCCACTTTCTCCTGTTTCTGAAATTTGTCACCTGAGAAATAACCCTCAGATTTTCTCACTTTGATCGAAATGTTGTCACACATGAAGCTTAACTCTTTTGTATCTGACTCACCAAAGTCTCAGCTGCATAATATTTCCACAAGAAAAGTGTGAGATCTCATTGTTTTCTTATACAGCTCTATTCTACATTACAGAACTTCTTCAGCACTCCATCAGTTTAGAAGGACAACTCACGCTTTTCTTCTTAAGCACCAGAATTTCTCACAGTGAAATGTTGATGTTAATCTCATCTTTTTTCCTAAGGGGGGTTTAGGGGAAACAATGTAAAAATCAGTGATCATTTATTAATATAATATTGAGATCTAGATTTTTCTGAGACAATTTTGAGATTTTTTGAGACAATTTTTTCTCTGGTACTCCCTCTGGCTCCTCTCAGCTACAAACCTTTTTTCTTTTTTGCTCATCAAAACAGTATTTGCATAGTAAGTCTTTAAAGTAATGACAAGGTTGTTTTCTGAACGTGCAGCACTGCTAAACAGATCACCATGGCTAGACAGTGGAGTCCAAAAGTTCAGACCATACTGAAATAACATAAACACTAAAATAAACAAACAAAAACCTGACCATGTTAAGGTCAGATTATTTTGAGGCTTATTCCTTCTACTGAAACTTCTATTAAGTCCATGCGCAGTTTGAGTGCATGCTGTCGTTAAGGCAAAAGGCGGACAAACGCTAAAAAAATGTAAAATTCATGTACACGCGCACACACACACACACACACATACACACACGCACACACACACACACACACACACACACACATACACACACATACACACACACACACACACACATACACTGCACTGACTATGTTATATTGAATAGATGACTATATTGTAAACATAGCCATATGTACTGTCTACATTAAGCATGATTAACATAAAATAACAGCTAAAATTCATTTGTTACCTCAAGGTAATGTTTATATGGCTCCTTTACACGCAGCTGAAGAAAGTTTCCAAGCAGTGGAGTTGGAGAGGGTCCTGGAGGAAGCCTCTCTAAAGCCAGTGGACGCTCTTTACCGCGGCTCTTCCATAATAAAAGTAAAACAGCGGTGATCATGACTGCAGGCAAAACGTATCCCAGAAAACCGTCCATTTTGTACAAACTGCAAAAATCCTATGCAGACAGAAACCCAGGCTTCGCAGAACAAGAAATTTACCTCGACGACCTTCCAAAGTACACTGTGCCGAAGCATTTAATCTTTAACGCCCAAATTCATGATCTTGCCACAAACTACGTACGACGACAGCGTCTGCGACCAAAAAAGCAAAGCGTAAAACTACATGTAAAACTACGGTTTAGACTGTTGTTTTTTCTGAGAGGGCATTGTTTACTTCACATGCAAATAATGATGAAAGACTGGTTTTAAACGCATTAACATGTGTTTGCTTCCAAACACATTTCATAAACGTTTCATATTTTTATAAGTAAATTTGATGAGCTTTACGTATTTTATTGCTCCTATTGTGACAGGAGCCAATCAAATGTCACTATTATGACTAACTGACAAAAGGGTTACAACTTTTTAAAGCCATTGTGGTAGGGTAAATTCAGCAAAAGGGTACTTTGGTAAATTCTCCAGGTGCTGATATTTTGTGTTTTTGTGAGTTGTCACATGTCTTAAATGCATTAAGATATATTTAATATAGGTTTATTTGGACATTACAGATGCCACCACACAGTTTGTCACTTCTTTTCACCTTAGTTGTTTTATTTTTCCTTCATGTAAAGTGAGACAGTACATTGTTTTTTAAATTTACAAAAGAAATTTATAATATTTCTGTTTTAGGAGACACTTATGCAAAACATGATTCCTACAACTGTTTTATACAATATCTGATTGACTGGATATGGCCTAGTCATGTTAAGTGGCAAAGAGGCCTGCAGTTTTTCCTTCAGAAACATAGTTAGAATTTGCATGATATTCAAAGAGATCTTAGTTCTGGGCATGGTATAGGGACGAAAACACTCCATATTTGGGCAGGCAGGTGACGCAGTGAACTCCAAACACAGAGCAATGGTGCTTTCTAAAGTGTGACGTTACAGTTGTGAGAAGGCAACAGATTATTTCTGTCCTGTAAGGAGGCCTAAATTTGAACTGAAATGATGAATGTTTGTGACTTCAATGCAAATATGAGCTTAGCTACTGAGCTGTGGATTTCCCTAAGATCTTAGACATGAAAGAAACCTTTGAGATTGGCCTACAATACGACAACTCACAACAATTAATGATTTTGTTTCTTATAATCTTTGTTTCTAACCACTAGTGTAAAGTTTTCATTTCAAGTTAAGAGCTTCAGTAAGTTAAATAAAAACTTGTACAACAAAGATTGTTACTGCAACTGTTGGTTGTTTGTAGAATGAACTGAATGAATTTCCAAAAAAGATGGGATGCTGTGCTTTTGTGTTTTTTTAAAAAATATATGTCCATTTTTATTTGATGCCGGCAACACGTTCCAAAAAATTGTCTCAGGGTTCAAGTTTACCACTTTGCTGCATCACCTCTTCTTTTATCAACACTCTGTAAGTGTTTGGGAGCTGAAAAAACCAATTGCTGTAGTTCTAAAAGTGAAATGTTTTCTAATTCTTGCTTTGTATAGGATTTCAGTTGCTCAGCAGTTCAGTTCAGTTCCTTTGTCATATTTTTCATTTCATAATGCACCAAATGTGAAAGGTCAATAGGTGACAGGTCTGGACTGCAGGCAGGCCAGTTTAGCTCCGGGACTCATTACCTATAGTCATGCTGTTGTACAACATGCAGAATATGGTTTGGCGTTGTCTTGCTGAATTAAATTAGTCCTTCCCTGAAAAAGACGTCATCTGGATGGCAGCATATCGCTGCTGTCGGAAGAAAACCTCATCTCTTCATTTTTGTCGTTTTTCAATTTTTGACATAATTTGAAAATACCCTTTACATTATGTGTAAATTTCATGAGGAATGGACCAAAGCCAGTGGCCCAAAATGACTTGGAAAAAATGCTGGCTCCATTGACTTACTTTTTTCCTTCTCCTGTAAAGTTACCACTTTGGAGATACAAGGTTTTCTTCTGGCAACAGCGATATGTTGCTCCAAGACCTGTATATATCATTCAGCATTAATGATGCCTTCACAGATGTGCAAGTCACCAATGCCATGTGGACTAATGCACCCTTATACCATCACAGATGCTGGCTTTTAAATTGATAACAAACTGGATGGTCAGCACTGTCCCAATTTTTTTGGAACATGTTGCTGGCATCAAATTCAAAATGGGCAATTTTTTCAGCTTCAACATTTGATTTGTTGTATTTGTAATATTTTCAGTTAAGAGTTTAAATGATTTGCACATCATTGCATTCTGTTTTTATTTACATTTTTCAAAGCGACCCAACTTTTTTGGAAACTGGGTTGTATTATTTTATGTTCTGCCTTAAACTCTGATCTACACTACATGGCCAACAGTATGTGGATACCCTTCTAATCAGTGCATTCAGCTGCTGCAGCCACAAAGTGAGGTCCATAAAGACATGATTTGACAAGTTTGGTGGACACCCCCATTGAACACCTTTGGGATGAACTGGAATGCCGACTGTGATCCAGCATCAGTTCCTGATCTCACTAAGAATGTTCTTGTGACTGAAAGGCAAATTCCCACAGTCATCTTCCTAAATCTGGTGGAAATTATCTGTTCATGCAGCAAGATAATTGTACTTGACAAGTAATATTATATTAAAATAAACTGGTTCCAGTCCAGAAAGAAGTAGGCTCTGATAAGTCTTTGAAGGTTTGAAATAAGTAGAAAATGCTGGTTTTTAGGTCAAATTGTTTGAGATCAGACTTAGCACAGTACAATAAATACATAACGAAATACAGTGAAACATTGTATAGAAATACAGTGAAACACTGAATATTAGCAAGTAATTCTTAGTTCAGTTTTTTGCATTTTTAGTTTTGACACACTGAAAAAATGAAGGCCAACAAACAAGAAGGAAATTGGAGAAAGTGGAAATTATTTAATATTACTTAATACTAGTGGAGTATGATTATGCTGTTACTTGAAACAAATTGATTCATCTTGAAATAGGTAGGCCTAAACCCATATTCAATATAAATCTAGTCCTTAATCTCAGAACATACATCTTAAAACAGAAAACTCAAATTTGTGATTTTACTCAAATCACAACCAAAACTGCAAGTTTCCCTTAAACATTTATTAATAACAGAGAGACAGAGAGTGGGAGAGAGGCTGAGAGAGAGACCAAGAGACAGATCACAGTGGGCCATTGAAGAACAAAAAAAGTAATACTGTTTGAAGATTGGAGAAAAAATTGTTTTTGAATGAATAAAACTACACCTGATAACAGGGAATTTTAAAAGCCTCAGCGTAGGAAACCGAAGAAAAACTGTGGGTCTTAGCTAGACAAGTCAGGTACAGGTGCAGGGCAATAAGTGACTGAAAGACAAAAAGAAAAAGTTACAAATTAATTTTTTAAAAAGCTTGGGTCAGCTAAGTTTAAGCAGTGAAAATCAAAGTGTCCTTTCTTGTCCTGGTAGGTGAGGCATGTCAGGTCATTGCCACTAAATAAGAATATATATATTTAAACATGTCTCATGTGATCAAGCAAGTAAACTTTTATGTCTCCAAATCTTGAAACAAGTTTGTGAAAGAGAATGGTACAAATTTGAACTCTAGTCAGTGTAGCTTGTCTTACCATAAAATTACTCAATGTTGAAATTTTCTGACTAACCTGGCCATAAAAGACAAATTCATAATCAATTTAAGAACATATCGTGAATTCAAAGACAGAAACTAGTAAACAACTTTTAAAACAAGATAACTAATCTCATATTTCCAGATGTAAGATTTAGTGGACTTAGTGGACACCATTTAAAGTTACCAAGCTGTTTAAGTTAAGCTTACTTGCTGCAGGAGTGTGGATTACTGAAAATTAGAAATTAACTATAACCTATATAGAAAGTTATTTCAGCTTGAACCTGTTAAGTAACTTAACTTTTTGAGGCAATAGGTTTGCATGATTTTTTCAAGTAAAGTCAACTAATTTAGGTTTATAGTGCAATTTTATATACCCCATAAACATTTTTTACATTTTATGCCATGTACACTGGCTTACCAACCTTAGGGTAATGTTAATATGTCTCCTTTACACATAGCTGAAAAAAGTTTTCAACCACTGGAGCTGGAGACCTGGAGGAAGTGTCTCAAATCTCTTCCATAGTAAATATAAAACAGAAGTGACTATGACCGTTGTATTCCAGTGATATGTTAATTTTTGTCTATTTTGGAAAAAAAAATGTGTTAAAAAGTCAACAAAAAGAAACTGCACCTAAGCAAGAAACAAATGGTACTGAATTTTAAAAACTTTAGTTTTAAAAAACTAAGGAACACTGGACTAGAAGGCCAAATAGAATGCAGACATACAGTACTGTGCAAAATGTTCTGAGAAAATCATATATAAAGCCACTTATCTGTGAATGTTTATTTTGCTAGAATTATGCTGATATTCCTTCTGAGACTGAGAACTATCCAGTTAGAACTAGGGTCATCAAAGCCTCACTCAAAGCCTGCACTATGATCAATGATCAAATGTGATTAAACTATGATAAAACATTGTTTACACAATGCAACAAGATGAATTCTTAATTTTAATCTTAATATTAATATTTTTCTTCTTTTTTTCCTGCTTTTTTTGGAAGAATGTCTGAAGAAATGCTGTCTGAAATTCATGCAAACTGCTTTTTTTTATTTCATTGTGTTTTAAATTTGTGGAATTAGCAAAAAAGGCCACACTGTAAAAACTGCTGTAAATAAACGGTGTAAACACTGCACTATTGTGTTCCTTAAATACAGCAGATGGTGTAAAATGGTGCCAAAGAAGTTAAATGTAAGATTTTACAGTAATCAGCTGTTATTTGCACAGTATTTTAGGATAGTGTGCGGTACTTTGTGCAATAGCTTGAGCCACCTGTCTCTAAATATGGGTGATGGTAGTGGAGCTTCCCGGCAATAGTGTTAGCTTTTGTTAATTAGCTTTTATTGTGTCACCTGCAGCTTATTTTAGAAGACTTTTTTGTTGCTTTGTCTTGACATGCTATTCCTGCCCCAAACTGGTGTTAAAACCATGATGGTGTTTTGTGTTTCAGTTAACTATTTATTTTCATATTTTTATAATTAATCAATAT